TTTTATATATATTTTTTCCATATATATTTTAATGCTTGCTGATTCACTTTTATCCAGTTTCTAGATAAACTATCACTTAGCTTACACTTTAAATTGTTTAATAAACTTGATAAATTTATTGCTTCGAAATCGTTTCATATACATTTTATTTATTTATATTGACTGTTCATATTGAATACTTGAATTTGTAATGCACTTTTTATTTTATTTTTCAATGTTCATATTTATATTCAGTGTTAATATTTTATACTGATATATAGTTTATTTTTTTAGTATATGTTTCAAGTTTTTATTAGTTCATTCTCTGTTTGAGTTAAACTATTCATGTTGAGCTACAAATTTATATTTTATGCAGCTTTTCAAAACTTTTGCTGCTGAAGTAAACATTTTAGCATTTTTATAAGCTTTAATAAACAACTATATATTTTAATTCATGCTTCATTTTATGATCAGTTTATGTTTGAGCAGTCAAATATTTGTTCACTCTTTTATTTTATGCTCATTAAATTAAGTAATACTTTTTATATTAATTCCACATTTTGTTTAAATTCAAATTATCATTCATTGTTTATTAAATTAAATTATAGAAATCAGTTTCAAATTGAGAATTTTCTTTGTTGTCGGCTACCTTCTTTCGAAACCCCAACGTTTTCCACTTTTCGCAACGAATTTTCTTGTGCAGCTCGCATTCGCAGTCGGAGACGTTGAAACCGCAACTGAGTTGAATTTTCCGATGTGCCTGCCTTTTATGCGCTTTTCCTGTCGGCTTCGTTCAATGTTGAATGTTGAAGCGAACTCAACGAAGCTTTTTCGCTTAAAGCTTTTCCACATTCAATTTCCATTTCCATCGCCTCACTTGCGACTGTTTACAGGTGTTTGTTTTGGCCAGTCCAGAACAGAACAGAACAGAACAGAGCTGAAAAGAAACGATACAAACTCCTTTGGGCCAAATGGCGCAAAAGCTGTTGTGCTCTTTAAATTTTCGGCAGAGTTTTTCTTCTTGTGTTCGCCTTTTCATTTTGGTTTACGCTTCGCTAACCGCAACATTTTGTTTTGTTGCTGGCCTGTTGCAGGCAACAACTGTGCGCCACTTGTTGCACGCTGCCAAAATTTGTCAGGCAATTTATAAAGTTTGATGCCCGATGCTTGGCCACAATTTATCAATAATTCAACAGCGAGAAGCACGAAATATCCATATATATTTATGTTTATGCTTATGCCTATGCTTATGCCTGCTTTCAAGCACAATAAAACAGACAGCGAATCTGACTTTGGAAATATGCGTAAATTGAATGCTCTATAAAATGAAGTAGATCTGATACTAGCCTAGTACTGGACTTGAATCTGACTCTTAGCTGACCAGAGCTCAGTTCACATAGGACAGAACTAGCTATGCATGACAAGCTGAGCAACAAAAACAAGCTACCCGCTGAAAGGGTATTAACATCCAACGACAACACTTAAAACAGGCGATGACTTAATCAAACGTTTGGAAAATTGTTGAATTATTGAGAGCAAGCTAGAGAGAGAGAGAGGGAGAGAGAGAGAGAGGGAGAGAGAGAAAGGCAACGAAAAAGAGAGAGAAATAGAAGCAAAACTTGAAGTATGCCTAATCAATATGTGTTGAAGACAGTTGGGAGGACGATCGGGCGCGTAAAGAAAACAAAAAGGCACTGCAAGGCACACACATACACACACAAGCAAACACACACATCCTGTGACAGCGCAAGGATTGTGAAGCGACAACAAATCAATTGTGAAGCCACACGAGAAAAAGGACAACGGAAATGATGAGACACGATGTGGGAGAAGACAAAAAGCAAAAGCTGATGACGATGATGACGTGGCTGACGATGATGATGATGATGATGATGATGAGGAGCGAAGGGGCAGTGAGGAATAAGCGCCACAAACTGTGGCAAACCGAATGAAAACATTTTTCTAATTTCCTGTCATCAATATCAAATGAAATGTTATGGCGCACACACCAAATATCCTCAGACGCCCCCGTGCTGCCCCCGTGCTGCCCCCGTGCTGCCCCCGTGCTGCCCGCGTGCTGCCTGCCTGCCAACACGTCTAATTAAGTTGTGTGTGCGAATGTCGCGTATTTATAGACAATTCCTTTTATTGCAAGTAAACCGAATTCGCACATATAACATATAACAATTGCTGGTTAATATACATATATTATATATGTATGTATTACCTAGAACCTTAGCCGCCTGATCGCACGATAATGATAGCCATCATCCAGCAGCGCCGCGGACTCCTCCCCGCTCTGCGGCACCGGCTCGACGGCCACCGCATTGTCCTCCAGTGGCGGCAGATAGGCCTCGGCGGTGGGCGTTAGATCGGGTATGACTTTGGGCGGGGCATAGTGGTAGCCATCGGCCTGCAGCAAGCCAGCGGGCTCCACAATATCCTCATGGGTTGGCGCCTCCGTTTCCTCCACACTTGGCTGCTCCGTGGTCGTGATGGCAGCTGCCTCCGTTGTGGGCAGCTCGCTGGCTGCTGTTGTTGTTGGGGGTGCAGCTGTCGTTGTCGTTGTTGTTGTTGTTTCTGGTGCGATTGTTGTCTCAACCGGTGGCAAGTACTCGTTGCCGGGTGGCAAGTACTCACGGGGCGGTGTCAAGACATGCGACAATGTAGCCGCATGCTGTTCCACGGGCGGCAAATAATTGCGACTGGGCAGCGGTGGCAGCACCACAGGTGGCAGGTACTCCAGCGGCAGATGTGAGACATCGCGACGCGGCCGCAAGGCACTGGCGTTCACGCTGACAGAAGCCGCCGCAGCCAGCAGCATCAGCAGGTTGGCACTTTGCTTCATCTTCAACTGTAAAATTTGACCTTGATCTAGCTGGCCTGTCTCTGTTTATGTCCGAGTTTAACACTTACCATATCAGCAATGTGGGTCTGGGTTGGCTGTGTGTGTTGGCTTGTTGGGATGTTGCGTTATGCTGTGTCTTTTTGAAATCACTTTGGCTATTTATATGAAAAATTAGCAAGGGTTTGCCAAAGACTCGACGCGTTCGATTCGAACAGCAAACCGAGCAGAGAGAAGAGAAGAGAGAAGAGAACTGAGCGAACACGAGCTATCGAACCGGAATCTCAATTAAACACGCGTTTCAATTGTTGCTGTTGCTGTCGCCTTTGTTGTTGTTGCTGATGTTATTATTGCGTTTGATTGCATCGAAAACATTTAGCGCACAGACGATACCTTCCGCCTACTGAGCTGTTGTTTTAGCTGCTTTACGGCTAAGAGTTGTGTAGAAGAAAAGAAGCTACTTAGTTGCATTAGCAGCAAGATGAAAATAGACTCTTATTTGCAATCAAAATATCAATCAATTAACTAAAGCAAGTAAATGTTGTTAATTTAAGTAAATGTATTTCGGCTGACAGTGCTTGACTCGCTGTGTAATTAATTAAAGCAGTTGGGTCTGAAGACGAAGAACTGAGGACGAGAACTTTTAGAAAAATTCTTTGGAAAAACTGATATATGGATCTATATAAATAATATTATTAACCCTAAGAAGCAACATATTATATAAGAATACATTCTTGCCTTAAGCCGCGTATTAATCTTAGCTTAAATTTTGGGCCCTAACAAAATAAAATATTTGAAATATTTTTAATCTAACTTTCAATTTCATCATCAGGAAACTTTTCATCAATTTAGCCTTTTTATATACTTTTCCATATAACTATAAATCTTACCTATATTTGGCTAAATTTCAATTCACCCTAACTGCATCACACAACTTTTTGTCAGTTTAGCTTTTTTAGCCTTTTCAATCAATAAAATTACAGTTACTTTTTAACTATTTAGTTACCTATAGAAATATTTTGGCTCACCTATATATTTAGCATATAAATTTATGGTTAAGCTTTAAAAGTATAGCTAAAAATATGTAGCCATTTTTTTTATGAAAAATTACAAATTTCTGTATATATTTTTAGCTACCTCCAAATTTGGTGACTATAAATTTTACTTTATATATTTATATTTTAGATAAATAATACAAATAATTATAATTTATATGTTTAGCTATTTTTTAAGCCGGCCTTTATGATTGCTTGACCATTTCAATCTGTTCCAACTTTAGCTTTAAATATTTTGTTTGTGCAAATCATTTTAAGTTCTTTAAAGAAACTAATAATAAGCTATGATTTTCATTCATATATGGTATAACGATATAGCTATATAGTAACCACATTTCTAGCCAGTACTCAATATTATTTAGCCTTATTATAAATAGCATTTCAATTCAGCCAWTTCATGCTCTCAATCTCTCGCTGCTTCTRCYTCTGCTGCCAACACCGTTCCTCTGTGGTCTAGGCGCCAGCTTCAAACGTGTTGCACCTGAGTTCGATCGAGCCGATCTCTTTGTTGGATGCTCGTCATGACATGGTCATCGATGGCATGGTCATTGGCATTAGTTTTTTGAACCAGCGAGCGCTTCTTAAGTGTTGCCAACAACTGTTTATCTATTTGACTTGAGCTGCGTTTGTTTGCCGAAGAATATTTCGCACTCAATTTAAAAATCTGTCAATATTTTTCAATTGTTTTGTTACCTTTGGCCACATTCTACAAATATCGGATTTGATGAGCGTAACCGAAACCGAAAACGAAACCAAAACTGAAACCGAAACTGAAATGCTTATAATAAATAATTTCAATGTCCCGCAAACAAAACGAATTCAATGTCAAATGTAAGTTTTGTATCTTTTATTGACTTTTTGGAGGCCCTCTAATTACAAGTTCAAGATGATGCGGCATTTTGTGCCGTGGCTCTGTGGGTCAGAGAACTGTCACGATCTTCTGCTACATCAGTTGCATCATGACGTGGCAATTAAGAAACTTATCACACTTATGCGGCACGCTGACGTCTGGCTATAAGCGGCTTACAGACACGTAAAAAAGCTAAAAATCACAGCATAAGAAAATGCTAGGCAAGGGGGAGAGGGTGCTTGGGGGGTAGGTGGCTTGGAGCACGCAGCCGAAGCGCAGACAATGCACACAATTTCAATCAAATGCATTAAACCAAGCTAAGCTGTCACAAAATCCATCAAAAAATATTATTTCTATATAAACTAAGCACACACTCATGCATGCATACACACACACACACACACACATATCTATAAAACGCCTTTATCTTTGTCCGATTTCCGCAATTTTCAGCGCGTGGCAGACAAATAAGGCGAGAGAGCGAACGAGCAAGCAAAAAAAAAAAATCAAGCAAAAAGTTACAAAAAAAAATATTTAGCCCAAAAATGAAATCGAAAGCATATACCATTTTTTGCAGTGTGCTGCCCCAGCTCAACGCGTACTCAAATTCAATGTAATTTCTTTCCTTTTTTCTACCATTTTGTCTGTGTGTGTGTGTTTGTGTGTGCGAGTTGTTCTTGTTGTTGCAGGATTAGTAGAAATTGAAAACGCTGCCAACGACGATTCGTGCCACCTTCTCAAAAAAAAAAAACGGACGAGAGTGCTTGTGCTTAATAGAAACGGTATATATACATATGCATATACATAAAAAATCCGAAAATATTTAGTTAAAATATTTAAACTCAATAACAGGTAACAGCCTGCGCCTGCCCAACGACTGCTCCTGTGGCAGTGTCTGATTCGTCACTGAAAATTTTCGATGCCAAATCGAAAATAAATTCCACGCAAAAAATCGGAAGCAAAAACTGTGCGCTCAATTGAATCTGTGACCACGCGAACAGCAGCAAAGATAAATAAAAAAACATATATATATATATTTCTGATTCATGTATATATATATATCGACAGCGCGAGAGATTGAAAGGCTGCCAACGTTGACATGTAAAACGCAAGCATGGCAATGGCACTACAAAGG